TACGCTTCACTGGAACCGAAGGCGAGCATTATTACCTCGTTTGGCGGTGAGTTTTGTGTCATGGAACGCCATAATTTCTTTCTTTTCTCTATCCGACCGGGGAGGGAGAGAGTGAAAAGAAATCGGGACTACTGTTTCGAGACGGGAACATAAAATCTCCGAGGGTCTCGGCAGACCCCCAAGCGGGAACGGGAAACCATAAACAGCGACCCCCCACCGCTGACAGTCGTGTAGCTAAGCCTGCAAATAAGGACTATTCGCGTATCTAATGAATGGATAACATGAACCCGTAGAAAGAACACACCTGAAGTCTCAATCTTTTGCTCGGAAAGTTTCACCCACCCACCAAGTGGCCTGAAAGGAAAAAAAAAGGATCGCACAGCTTTTCCTGAGTTGGGTGACGGTTTATTTGATGCATTTTCAGCAGTTTTGAAAACATACATAATATTAGAGATATATAGTATTTATTATAAAACATACATATTAATATAAACATACCTTATTATTAACATAGTAATATTCAGTAACATAATATTTAGAGGATATTTACTTACACACTAAATTATATCAAGTCAAATTTTAAAAGTTGCTGTATTTTCAATCAAATATACTGCAATATATTTTGTCATGTATATAATCTGAATATTCTTCGTACTCTGATTCATCAGCTTCTTAATCTAAATTGTTTAATTTTGGAAAACTTTGTCAATTTTAATTTTAAAACATGGATTCGGCTTGTAGCATAAGCTACGTAATTCATAAGTTATACATGACATTACACTTGTAGAGTCATTAGGGTTTTTTTGGAAGCAGGAGATGTGAAAAATAAGCAATGCTCTCGCCGGGACTCAAACCACGGACCTTTCGAATTCGCGTCGAGCGTGCTGACCATTACACCACGAAGGCATGCTAAGAAGGAAGATAATAGTTAATAGAAAAAGGTATCTTCTCTTTCGTTTGACTTAACTTGCAATTTGAGTAGCTATTTTAGGCAGCAGCTGGCAAACTTCATGCAATCAGTATTGAAATAAATAGAAATACTTGGCTAGGAATTACTGTAATCGAAGTACAAATTTTAAATGCTCTCATTTGGTTAAAGTAGTTCAAAAATGTCAGTTTTTCATCAAATCGTATTAATAACATTAATCATGTCAATATTAGGTTAGTTGAATATGGCAGTGCTGAAAAGGGCTATCTGAATCTCATCAGATCAAAATAATTTTAGTTGAAGAATCTTTCGCTGTCGATATGTTGCGGAAATGCAATATAGTTTCTCCACACACACGTTAAGTGTGAAACGATATAGATTTTATAGAGTTAGATCGAGAAAAAGTATTGAATATGAAATCGCCTTTATCCCGAATCACCTGTAATAGGCTTTCCTTTCGAAAGAAAAAAGGTGACATATTCGCTATACGTGTTTGCTATATTCTGTATATGTTTAAGATAGTTTTGTATTCAAGATTCAAATTTAATCTATAACTTAAATAGAAATCGGGTAGAAAGGGAGGAATAGACCTCAGTGCTCACACACAAAATGAGATGCAAATGTGTGTAGCCTGTTACTAGAAGCAATAGCTGATTGAAAAGTTTATTATTTAATGTTTCACGGTTTATTAATATTAAAAAAGCAATTTAAAAATTATAATGATAGAGATTTGCATTTCCAAAAAATTCTTAAGGTACCCATACTTGATAATATACATATAAGCACACCAAGTGAAGATACAATATAAGTATCCCCGTATAAATGCACGACTCCCTTGTAAAATGTTCAAGCGAACAGTATGCTTGTCGTTTTTCTCAAAATTCTAACTGTAAACAACTTAACTACCAGATTTCGGTGAAGGAGTCAAAAGAAAGCTTCCGACCGCCAAACCACAATAGATTGTTGTTTAAGATATTTTGAGATCGTTCACGAGCTCTTGAAAGGAACAACGCGGTGGCTGACGAAAGGGCGTAATCTCCTGTCCGCTTGTGACCATCACAATGCATTCTTTTATAACATGCCTTCCATTTCTTGCAGGCGACCAGTACTCGACAATGGATTCTGCTTTTGACGTCTACTTCCTCTTATTATCCGAACTAATTTAGTTGTAAAGGAGACCACCACCGAGCAAAAGAATGCCTCTCTAGAGGAGAGGTTGGATCATTCAATAAATTACAAGGCCGCCTGCGTGCCTGGTAGCCGAACCACTTGTTATTACAGCCCTCCTAAGAAGATTTTGTTACAAAGCCTATATGTATATACTCTAACTTCATGATATTATTCGACGAATATTAATACAACAGTAGTGGGGGGATGAATGGAATATGGGCCATAAACTTTGTGTTCCTATATCAATTTGTAAAAGAAGTATATAAATTCATCTTTAGTTAAATAAGTTATAAATATATAAAAATAGTTAACATATAAGTGGCTAAGATTCCAATGACGTTCATACTCGTTTTCCTTCATATTATGCGACAGTTTGTGTGCACTTTCTGTTTGTTTAAATGCAGATTTCATTCTGATTCCTACTTGATAGCAAAAATGGCATCGTTGGCTTCAATCTGTCGAAATAAAAGCATTATTTTCTAATGGTATTTTGCGTCACAAACGGCATGTATCTCCCTCGAACTCTTTCTGAATAGAAAACTTGTTGCTGACAATGATATATACATATGTATGATAAAATCAAACTCAGAAGTAGTGACCAGCAGGCATTTTGGTGGCGTAGAAGTGTTGATCCATAATGAATAGGAAATTGGAGGCGAAGGCAGATTAAATCTTCATTATTTATATCAGCAAACATGTTACGGCCTCAAACAAATTGGCACATTAAATGGGCCTATTCCAAAAAGTTTACATTTTAGGTCAGTTTTCAGTAAGAAAGAAAGAACAGATGGGCTGCAATTCAGCTAAGCGTAGGAAGCAAGCCAGCGAAATTGCGTCCAAGCAGGGCAGAGAGCGAAGCTGAAGGGGTTAGTTATGCAATATGGAAGCACACGAAGAGAAAAGTTTTGGTTTGAGTTAAAAAGTTTCAGTTTCAAATTATTACGTCATCAGCGCTACGCAAGCCATGCAAAATGGAATGATCTAGAAATGACGTAACCCAGAGAAGTTATTACGATTTTTATAACAGAGAGGAAGAATTAAAGAGTTACCGTTAGCTTAAATTATAATTTTGATTCACATATTTTTTGCCTTACATATCCCCCGACTTCAAGGAGAAAAAGGCTTATTTTGATTCACATATTTTTTGCCTTACATATATAAGTGTCAGTGGTACCGATTACTGTGAGTGAAAAAAAAATAAATAAACCAAAGCTGAGAAAAATAAACAACAAAAAAAAAAGTCATGGTAAAACTTACGGTGGAAAAAAAAATCAAGACGGGAGAGCTGCCAGGAAAAAAATGCTAAAAGAAGAAAACATTGCATGAATAGAGTTTAGGATATATGGATACAAAATGAAGTTACAACATTAGCTTTAAGCTATAAAAGTTGTGTGATAATGATAGTACTCTTGAAATAAAGTTGTTAATTCGATTAATACAATATACCCGACATACTATTTCGCAGTGACTTTTACCTGCAAATTACTAACATGCTGCTCTTCGGAGTATGACATTCGGGATAATATTGATTTAATTCTCAACTTTTAAGTGACTTTTATTCGTACAATCTTAATATTTAACCATGTTTCTGCTGCATATTTTTAAACGTAAAATAACCAAATGTGCGTCATATTTGTCATACATTCACATATTTATATTCAAACGTTTGTTTGTTTCAAAATCTGTATGTTTAATAAAGAAAATTTTTTATAAAACTGATAAATTTTCATCAGAAATATTTTTAACAGAGTTGAATATTCGTGATTTAATTATTAGCTTCAGAGATATATATAAGTCATTCATAATTACCTCCAGGGTTTCAAAAATTTATATTATTATAGCCATAATACACTGACGAGCCAAGATATTATGACCATCCCAACATTTTTCAATGAACTCGTCTGGATGACGTGGAGGGCATGTGATTAAGTGGGAATGGTATTTAACTGATACTAGAGAAGGTAATGAATTGCTCTTGCACTTAACTTTTGCGTCTGATGGGAAAGGCAGCAGATCTAAGCGAATTTGATAGAGGGCAGTTTGTAATGGCTTGAAGATCCAGAGAAACTGCAAGACTGGTAGGTTGTTCACGATCTGCCGTTATCAACATTAGTGCAAAGTGGATAAATGATGGTGAAACTAGCAGTAGACGCCAAGGTGTTGACGTCTACCCGTTATCAAAGAAAAAAGACGTCGTAGACCGTTCTGCTTAGTACAGCAAAATCGGTCAACTGACAGCCCAATACTACGCAAGTTCAAGTGCAAGTATTTCGTAACACACAGTTCAGCGGACACTGTTGGATATGGGACTGCGCAGCAGACGTCCCACTCGTGTGTCTCTGTTGATCAAGTGTCATTGTAAACTGCGCCTACAGTGGGCTCGGGAACATCCATCAAGACTGGACCATGGATAAGTGGAAGACAGTTGCCTGGTCGGATGAATCACGATTTCTCATTCATCATGTCGATGTTCGTGTCAGGATACGCCGTCTTCCAAGGGAATAGATACTCCACCTGTACAGTAGGTCATACTCAGGCTGGTGGTGGCGGTATTATGCTTTGGAGAACGTTCTCATGAGCGGCTCTTGGACCCTTAGTTATGGTAGAAAAGACCATGAAAGCTGCGAACTAGCTGAATGTAACTGTGAATCAGTTGCACCCTTACATGACGTCTGTCTTCCCAACTGGAAATGGAATCTTCCAGGAGGATAACGACCCATGTCACAAGTCTCGAATTGTGTTGGAGTGGTTTGAGGAGCATGAGGATGAATCCCAGTTGATGTCCTGGCCATCTGACTCGTAGAATCTTAACCCGATAGAACGCATTTAGGATGTAATGGAGCGACAGCTTAGATCTTAAACGCCACCATGTCGGAAAATCTCGACTTCGCTTGACCGCTGCATGGATATTTGGTATAAGTCTCCAGTCATCTACCAAGAACTTGTGGCGAGTCAAGGTTAGTTGCAACTGCTTTGCAGGCCAAAGGTAGCACTACTCGTTACTGAGTAGGCGGTCATAATGTTTTGCCTTTTCAGTGTATATACAGCAAAATATATTATATCAATATATAAAGAACATCTCTAAGTTGTGTGTGTATTTTAAAAATGATTGATATATACATCATTCGTTATTGCAATAGACTTTGATCTCACACGAATGTCCAGGCCGACCTGCTCGTTTTGCAACAGAGAGGTAGCTAGTTTCCTCGAATTTACTACGCAAAATTGTCTTCTCTGCAGGTGCTTCTGTTCTATATTGTGTATGAAATTTCCGTTATATCTTCACAAATGATTCCAATTTAGCAAATTGCAAAATTCCCCAAGCTTTGTGTTCGCCACCCAATGCCTTACTTGCATTGTACTACACCTAATGTCATAGTTGTTCTTTAGTGACTAAATCTGCAGTTGCATGATAAGGCATATTACGAGTGTAAACTTGAATCTTATTTTACTGTAAACTTTTGAAACACCTAAGAGAATTATGAATCGCTTCATATTTATATGCACGGAATTCTTTCCAGTTTCAAAATGGTTAGCCTGCCTTTTACTACGGTTCGTGTTCATAGGGAATAATAATCAGCTTTTTTATTGCTTTTAAATTACAATCATTTCCTAATAAATGGGTAATAAAGTAAATGGAATATTTACATTTTGCTCCATCCGTAACAAAAGACAGTTTCTATTCCAGGACGCAATTCAAGTAAAGTTACCAAATTCACGAATGAGGTAAAACTTTAATATTATTATAATAGCTTTTGCCTTGATTACCAAACGTAATAAACAGTCATGCCTATAGCAACAAAAACTAGCAGCAATAAATTAATCATGTTTATCCCTATTGTTGATTTATGTGTCTGATACACAGCAAATCAACTACTGTCTACCCATCTAAAGAAAGAATTCAAAAAGTATGCCTATTTTACTTTTGTAATCCCCTGTGGAGTAAGAACGTGACAGGTTGTACGATGACATCCCGCACTGAAGGCCTGATTTCGAATTTCGATAAGAAGTTCTAAATTTATGTCAAACTGACAAGGTGCAGACAGCACAAAAGATATCCATTCGCTCCCTCTTTGCGAAAACGCTACTGTCTGCGGGAAAAAAAAAAAAAAAGATGTATCGCTGGTCAAAAATTTCTGGCATTGTCTTTATTTAATAACTAAGAGGGAAATATTCCTTGTTTTTCAAATTATCCTTTCATTGCTGTATAGTACTAAAAAAATTTAATTAAAACAACATTGCATGATTTTGCTTAATGGAATAAATTTGGATAATCTTGATAGTTAAATATTGGTTGTCATAGATTTCAGGCTTTTATAGTCTGCATAATATTGGGCTGTAATGTGAACGTATTAGCTGTCTGACGCATCTGTAATGATGCTAAAATTAATAAACTATTAAGATTTTTCTGTAACATTTTTTGGTGCCTCTTTTATTGCTTGCATTGTTTAGCACCTGAAATGGAATGTAATTGATTTCATTACACGATTAAAAGTTTCAGCTTGGCAAAATAGGAAATTCTAAATAAAACGGTATAAAACATTTCAATCTTTGGACCTATGTGGTGGTGTATATCAAAATGAGCTTCGAATTGGGCTAATTAACCATTTTCCGCTTCTTAATTTTAATATATTTTTGTTTTTTACCTTGTTCAATTGATTCGTATTTTTCTGTGTTTATAATTAACTTTTTATGATCATATAGCCATTATTTTAACCATGTTCAATTGATTTTTTTACTATGTTAAAATTCCTAATTCGTTTAGCAATAGTTTTTTTTATTAATTAAAAAATTCTCCTTTTCACACTTTTCATAGATACTAAATATGTTAACTCAACTTGTAAATATTCAAATATTTTTTTCTCCTCTTTCACACTATTCATAGTAACTAAATATGCTTATGTTGGAGTTTTCTCGGAACCACAGTTTTGGGTAACTTTTTGGCGAGCTTTCTAAAATTTATCTTCTAATTTCCTTAATTTTGCAGCACAATGAGCAAAATTTTGATCTAAATTGGTCTTTTTCCGTTTGTGCTTACAACCTTATAATATATATATATATATAATCTGAAAGCTTTCAGATTTTACATTACCTCCAAAGGGGCGTTTTTTAACGTTTTGTGTGTTACCTTTATTTATTAAATATCATGTTCTTTGCACTTCAACCATGAAATTCAGTTTAATAGCAATGTCGCAAAATAATTTTAAAATGAGCCTATCTTTAGAATTTTGCGCGTTGGAGATAAAAAGGTATTTTTTCCTCCGTAGAGTATTGCCATGGCTCGCTTTTAAATCTTTGAGTTTGTTACTCAAAAAATCGTTAAAATTTTACAAAATATGAAATCGATCATAAAACAATTCCAAATTTCAAATTTGGTCTTTCACATGCCCATATTCGTAGGAGGATTACGTCATTCAAAATTCGATGGCTCTAGGTACCGCTATTTAATTTCTTCAAATATAATGTAGGACTCTAACATTTGATGGCAACAGTTTGAAAAGTGAAACGGACATTTATAGTGATTCAACGCAAAATCGCAAAACGAAAACAATAGTTCTTCAGTGACAAAGCCCCTTTGGACTAATAATAATAATAATAATAATATAACCCACATCTTCGTAACCAAAGAATCATTAAAAAGCAATTTGTAATTCTTCATAACGTTATGCAACAAATACCATTAATGCTTGTACCATTGACATTACTAATAAAAGATTTTAAGCCATTTAATAGTATATATCAGGATTATAAAACGTTTGATTCTGCCTTCTGTATACGCATTAAAAATAAAAAAACTCAATGAAAGTGAAAAATTTTTGTAGTAACATATAAATTCAGTCGTCTTTCTCTGTTCCTCCCCCCTTCATTTTATTCAAACGGCAGTATACTTATTAGTAACATTTTGATACTTTTCTCTTTAGACCCTTTCCAATTTTTGCTAAAAAAAAAATCTGATGCAGACGCTACTTGACTTCCTTGTACAGAATATTAAATTATACGCATTTTTTCCTGCATTTCTTTTAAACTCATTTCCTTGAAATTCACTAGAGATATATTTGTCATTCAATTAATTCAGTTCTCGCCTCGCGGCAAGGCAAAAATACATAAAACTTCGAAATGTCTTCGTTAAAAATTGAAAAATATGTAAAAACATAAGACCAAATAGAGTTAAAACAATTAAAAATACAACTTTTACAGTTAAAATAACAGTTTCTGCGCAAAAACAAGCAATTCAAACAACGGACAAGAAGGCCGATTTTTCCGTGCACAAAACAGAAAGTTTACTTTTGGTCCCAATCGGCAAAAAGACACTGAAAGTGCAGAAACTGACTTAATTTACTATTCTGCTAAGTTCCAAATGTAAAGAAATATTGTTGCTATGGTAAAAAAATTTTTACGCTTAGCCGCATTTAAACAACTTTTTAATTGTTGATAGTTCTACAACTATTGCATACAGATTAACTAAAGGTATAAAAACCTTAACTGGAAGACAAGAACATTATAATTCAATCATCTTTAAAGCGAAAAATGCACAATTATACAACATATAAGAATAAAACAATTGAGCTCCCGGAGCCGAGAAACAGAGTGGATATATATATATTTATATACTTTTGGTGCCACCGATTACAACCAAAAAGGGAGGTGCACAACTACATGTTATAGCAGTCCTATATACGAAATTTCAACGTTCTGAGGCTACTCGTTTTGGAGTTATGCGAGATGCATTCGTTCGTATATGTATGTATAGACGTCATGAAAAAAAAATCTCTTCTGAATCCATTTTAAATCCTTTTTGCAAGCCGCTTTGTGAAAAAGAGTTCTTTATTCTGTCCTTACGTACAGATGTCACGCAAAAATATCGTTAAATTCTATTCGATACAGCCAAAATGGATATTTTCGTTGAAATTTGTTGCCCGAAAATTTTCGCGATTACAAATACTTCCTTTACTTCGTACAAGGAAGTAAGAAAAGGTCAGAGATAGATATTGGGCTTTTAAAATTAAAATACTTGAGTTTTTATCTTATTTAACAGTTAAGAGTTTAGTTTAAGCAGATGGCAACAAGAGATATCAGTTTGTTAAGGCGCAGCCCACAAAAAGATCATAGGGCGGTGTAAAGTCTGCCATGAGGGTGGAGGTGCACCCCTCACATAACATCACTTTGTTAAACGAAGAAAAACGAAATATTTGTATGATTTCTTGCTGTTTAATATTTCGATAAAGTTAATTTAATACTAAAATTCGAGTTTACGATTTCTATTTATTGTGCACTTCATAAATATGCATGACTAAATATTTCTTCTTATTTTTAATAAATTGTACTTTTGCACAAATAGATAATATTTCATATTAGGAAAGTAAATTTTCTGAAAATATCGCAGGCTTTATACTTTTAAAGGTAAAATTTTATGTTAGCTGTCAAGTGTTAAGATGGAATTTGGCTGCAGATCACATTGATAATATTAGCATAATTTGAATTTGATTGATTTTTAAAAGTTAAGTAGCGATTTAAAAATATGGTGGTCTACTAAAGGCGCAAAATTACTAACGCTTTCTACTAAAGGCGCGAAATTTAGTTGAGGGGTCCGTATATATGCACCAACTCCCCGACACTAATGAACAATATCAAACTTTTCCATCCCTCTCGTTAATATACAAGGTTATGATTGCTTTGATTTTGATGTACAAAATATTACTCCTTTGATACTCGATGATTTTCCACTGGAATTTGCGTCAAGTATGTTGGTGTAATTCTTGACCAAAAATTAACGTGGATAAAGCACATTGAATTCCTTTCTACCAAATGTGAAAAAAATTATTAACGGTTTTCACCGAATCGCCAAAAATACTTTTGGATTAAACTATGACGTCAAGAAACTGATGTGTAAGCAGAGTATCGTACCTTTTATTTCTTACTGCAGTCGCTCTTAGGGACTTGTTCTTGCAAAAAAGATTAAGAAAAGAAATCTGAGAAAATTTCAACTGAGAATTCTTCTTCGTATTATTAGTGGTTATAGAACCTTTAAGTTATGAGGCAACTTTTGTTCTTGCAGGAGTTCCGTCTATTGATTTCGAAACTGAAGATAAGAGTAATATTTTCGAGGCATTGGCAACTGATACTTAGGAAGACTTCATAAACGGAAATGTTCCCTTCCCTGATCTTCCTCATCCAGCTACTTTAGAGTCTATAAATTTCTGAGATTATAAAGAGACTACTGAAATGAGTTTTTATATGGTTTTCTTTACAGATGGCAGCAAAACGAACAGCAAGGTTGGCCTTGCATTTGTTCTTTTTGAAGGCCATTCTGAGGTTTGTTATTTTAAACACCGTATACGGAACGAATCCACAGTTTTCAAGCAGAACCTCTGTGTATTTGTCTTGCCGTCATATGGATCAAGGATAATGGAACAGCATCCTCAAGGTACCTTTATTTGTTCCGATTTTCTTTTTTCCTTTCACCTTTTGAACAGCATTACCGGCAACGACAAATTAGTAATCGAAACCCTACCTGTCAGATCGCTTAGAAATAGCGGAGTGGATATCCGTTTTGCTTTTGTTCGTCCTCATGGATTCTATGGAAATGTAAGAGCAGATATCTTAGCTAAAGATGCCTTAAATTTATCCATAGATAGCAATATTAGCATTTCAAAGAGCTATTAGAAATCCTTTCATCATGAGAAGCTTTTAGCTAGGTGGAATAAGGAATATATTTCATCTTGTAATGCTGAGGTCACCAAAGAGTTCTTTCTTTTTATCGTGTCTACTTGCGAAATAGTCGCTGACCCGTTTTGAAGCAAAAAAATCGTCAGAAATGTATAATATTGTGTAGTAGATTTCCCCGCATAAATAGTCACACCTAGACTTTCACAATGAAAAATTGGCAGAAAGAGTGCGGCTATTACGCGAATAAACATGGTATTTACCATAGACTGTATTCCAAGTTCTTCCTTGGGCCCACCAGCGGCCGAGCGGTAAAGTCGCTGAACACTGGTAGTTAGGTTCGAATCCCGCGAACGGGCTGGCTGCATGTGTTTTCGTGGTTTTCCCCATGTGTAACGTGTATACGAGCCAGTTTCCCTTAAAAAGTCCTCCACGAAGGCATCCCTACCCTTAGGCAGATAGCCCTAGTGTGCTTTGCCATAATTAAATACACCAACACCAAGTTCTTCCTCTGTATTAATTTCAAAGTATCTCACTTTTTATCTGGTCACGGTAAATTTGCAAATTACATGTTTCGTTTCAATCTAAGATAAAGTAATTTATGTGAATGTTAAAAAAAAAAAAAAAAAAAAAGTACTTCAAGGTTGTGGAACATTTGATTTTTTTCATACCCTACCTTTGATGGCCTTAGATTATGCTTGAAGAACGATTTGAAAATGTTCGGCGTACGTGTCTTGGCCAGTGAACTTATCTGTTTTCGTGAAGTCCAGACTACTGTTCTCTGTTCTGTTTTTGTTCGTTTTATTTATGCATATTATATTTAATGTTTTATTTAACTGACTTTCGCAAGCCCCGTGTTGTACATCTGTGGTGCACGGGGATATTGCGTATTCAAAATAATATACGTAGGTTAATCCAAGAAAAAGGTTACAAGCAGAAGCATTTGAAACGTAATAATTGTGGAGCTAATATTTCCACTCAGGGTGGTTGACAGATGGCGCTAGTTGTCCTACAGCGGTTCTACGAGTAAATAGCGTGAGTACGCAGACACTTAAGAGCGACAGTAATGGCACGACGTCTAGAAAAATGGGAGACGTAATTCGATTCTTATGGGCCAAGAATGTGGCCGCATCCGAAATTCACAGACAAATCGTTGAGGTATACGGGGACAAAGCAATGAGTAGACAACAGGTAGCGAAATGGTGTCGTTCTTATCAAGCGGGCAGGGAGCATGTGGAAAACCGCAATATGGAAGAGAGCGGCCGTCCAAGTTCTTCAAGGACGGATATCAACACGACACGTGCTGAAGAAATCGTCCAAAGTGATCGATGAGTAACCGTGCATGAGATTGCCTCAGAGTTGGATCTGAGTTATGGTAACGTTCAGGGTATCGTAACCGATGGGTTGCGATATTCCAAAGTTTGTGCCCGCTGGGTTCAACGTGCGTTGTACGCGGAGCATAAGGCCACTCGAATGATGTGCAGCCTCACATTTCTTCAGCGATACCATTCAGATGGCCAACACTTCATTGATCGTATCGTTACCGGTGATGAAACATGGCTTCATCACTTCAACCCCCCCACATTCAAAAGAGCCACGATGGAGTGGAAACACGCTGATCACTGACGAGGATGAAGTTTAAGGTCACACCCTCTGCCGGTAAAGTGATGGCAACTGTTTTCTGGGATACGATTGGTGTTATCCTAATCGAGTATTTGGAGCGTGGCGATACCATTAAGGCCGATCGTTATTGTGCCACCTTAACGAAATTGCATAAAGCTATCCGACGCAAACGGCCTGGATTACTGAGGAAAGGCGTCATTCTTCTGCATGACAATGCCAGGCCCCATACAGCTCGCCAGACTCAGGAATTGCTGCAAAGGTTCAAGTGGGAGGTCTGGAATCACCCCCCATACAGCCTCGATTTGGCTCCAAGTGACTAAACGTTTCACCTCAGACGATGCAGTGAAAACAGCTGCCGAGAAATGGCTCAATAAGCAGAGCCCTGATTACTACCAAGACGGGATAAACAAGTTGGTCGAACGTTCTGACAAATGCCTAAACTGGTTTGGCGACTAAATGGAAAAGTGAAGGCCAGATGTGTCTCTTGATTCCCATTGTATCTGTTTCATTTAATAAGACACAATAACACGCCGAATAAATACTAATTCGAAGTCAAACACAAATCAGCGTTATATTTACAAATTTTTCACAGGACTAGTTTCGATGGTTTTACCGAACCACCATCTTCAGCTGCAAAACCGCGGTTTTGCATGCTGGATTGGTGAAAGCTCTGGTGACCTTGCTGGCCAAGAAAGAGTATCAGCCGCACGGAGACAGTCCAGAAATATGCGAGGGGTATGTGGCCTGGCATTATCTTTTGGAAAATTGCCCTAGGATGTCGTGACCGGCCGCAGTATAGTATCAACATATCGTTGAGCTGTTAAAGATGTACGGAGGATGACTAAAGATGACCTGCTGTCATAAGAAATAGCTCCCTACACCATCACACCAGGGGTTATGGATATATGCCTTTGTAAAACAAAGGATGACTGGGACCGCTGGCCCCATCCTCTCCAGACACGAACACGGTGCTCATCTGCTTCAAGAGCGAAGCGGGATTCATCCCTGAACACTATACGATGCCAGTCTGATGGCAGGCATGATGATCGGCTGCGACACCACTCCAGATGACTCCGCCGATGTTGTGGGGTCAAAGGCAAACGTCTTAAAGGCATCTGTGAGCGTAACCCCGCCTCGAAAAAGCGCCATGAGATGGTGGACGGTACCACGGGAGGTCAAAGCCTTTCCCCCCCCCCGGAATCGGTGACGGGAATACCCCCTGTAATGTCTAAGGAAAGAGGAAAACTTCTTTTGCTTTGTGAGGTTGTTAAGTTCTCTGGGGAAATGATCCGCGCAGTTAGGCAATACCGAAACATAGATTGTAATGCATCTTTAGTTACTTTAGTTATATGTAGTACTATACTTTGCATCTGAAAGGTTTGAAATGTTTGTTAGCATAAATCGCCGACTGGATATTTTCGCGAAATTGTTAGCGTCAGTCTTCAGCCGCGAAATTTGTGTAATTCGTATGCCACCATATTCCTTAAAATGTTAGCAAAGTTTTACGCTGCATCCTCCGCCCTGACTTTTGCTTTTTTTTTAACTCTGTAAAATTACGAGTTAAAAAAAGTGTGATAAAAAGACTTTCGATTGGCGCGTTTTCCCTATAGAGTTACGCGTTTTGTCCTATATAATACCTCAATATATGTCCTATACAATATTTGACCTATATAATACCTCAATATATGTCCTATACAATATTTGTCCTACCTAATACCTCAAAAGGCGCGTTTTGTCCTATATAATACCTCAATTACCTGTAGTGCTGGCTTAGCTTCGACCTGTACCTGTCCTATAGAATGTTCAAATTTCATGCATTAAAAGGCAAATTTCCTATAGTGAAATTTTAGCGGCTGTATGTTTTTATGATGTATAAATATATAGCTTTTTCGTGCATTTACTGCAGAATATGTCAAAGACCAAAATATTCAATCAAAGTGTATAAATAAGTCACACTGATTTTTCTTTTCTTACTAGGCAGCCGGGAGACTGCTTTTATTTATGCCATCACGAGTGCGGGTGCGACGCATGCTGTGACGCAAGCCTGCAGCGCGGGCAACCTTACCGACTGCTCGTGCGACACGTCTCGGCAGGGGCAGAGCACCCCCGAAGGTTGGAAGTGGGGCGGATGCTCGGACAACGTACGCTACGGAATGATGTTTGCACGCCAGTTCGTTGATGCTCCGGAGAGGGCGGAGAGGAAGCGTGACGTCAGAGCCATGATGAACTTGCACAACAACAATGCTGGAAGACTTGTAAGTAAAGTTACTTCGAATACTTTATAAGGTTACTATTATTTTAAATAAGCAGTTATTTTATGATTACGGTCTGTACTATCATTTCTATCTTCCGATTCCCTACCAGAATGTAAATTAGTTCAAGGGTATATAATAAGAGATTTTCGGACTATGAGACAGCATGTTTCTGCCTGTGTGCGCGTACGTTACGTTTCTCCGAGTTCTGATAGCCTGAATTTCTTGGTTTTGCATTATTTTCTGCCAGTGTTTGAATATCAACGCCGGTTGCATTGTGAGCCACCTTCGCATTATAAACTGAATTGTGCAGTCCTTGACTACTAGCTTATTTAAATTTTGATTTACAATTGACAGTTATTTAATTTATTTTGCTGCTGTTTAAAAGCTGGCTGTGTCTGTAATCACCAGATGTGCATTTTCCTCTATTTATAATAAAAGGATTCTTTACATCCATCTCAAGCCCCAATTGTTATTTTAGACTTAGCAATAATTCGCTGTCAGTCTGCCTACAGTTTGGATACAGTTTAAGATTTCTAAGACCAAACTTTATAACTTCTGGACCGAATAATTAAAAAGCATACAATCTTGCTCCAGCATGGTAATTCTTTCAAAAATTATACCTAGATTATATTATGTAAAACAATGTATTTATTTCTTTAGCTGCTGCGTTTTCCCAAAAATGAGATTCGATCTTAAAGTTTCGGTCCATTCATGGTCCATGATTTCAGTTCCTCTGACTGAAAACTTCAAGTAATTTGAAGTAAAGCCTAGCAAACCTGTGTAATTTTTGTGAAACGCTCACCGTCGGTACAAGTGCACTTCGTTGTTGTTTTCTTGTCCATGTAATTTCATGGAAGAATGGTTGCCAGAGCCTCATGGAGGCTGGATTTCTACTTCCCATCCCAATTTTTATGAAAAGCACCCTGGGGGGGGGGGTTCGACGGTCTCTCACCTCTCTTCCCTATCACCAAACCCATGGAGGTAGGAAAGGGAGGAGGGGCCATTCCGCGCTAGAAGTGAAGCACTGCTTTGAAGCTTGGGTCACCAGACGGGGTGTTCTTTGTTTACATTCAGAAGCTCGCTTGACAAGATTCTGATAGTATTTCGACACACGACAGTTCCATAGAAATCGAAAAAGGGACACTCTCGCATGAAAGAAACATTCATAGTGTAATGGATAATAGCAATTTGTATAGTTTACTGACATTTATGCAAAAATCACATCTTGGTTATTTTCGATAACTAACAACAGCGATTTTGATTATGAATTTGTTTTATAAAATTCTAAACTGTTGCACTACAAAAATATAGATTTTAAGAAAATTGCTAAAAGAGATCTGCCAAAATTTTATTTTCTAGAAGATTTGAAAAGTTTGAAACTTGATGGCTAAATGTAAATATAAAATTATGTATGTTAAAATATTTGTAATTAGGCACATAGGTCAGATTAAGTTTTTATATAAATAGAGTAACGCATGCAAGGGCTATCTGCCTAAAGAGAGAGATGCCATTGTGGAGGAATTTTTGAAGAAAAACTGACCTTTGAGTGGGTATTAAAATAAATACTTATAATTTCATCACTCAAATTATATTCATATATATTTTTTATGTAAAACTTTCGGGTCTATGCTAAATTAGTGTAAATTACTTTACACGAAAAATATAGTGAATGCACAGAAATTAAAGATTGCACATGCCGGAAATGATAAATAGGAAATATGCATGGGTATTTATGCATGTGCTTGCAAAAAGCATGTATCTGCCTTTGACAAAATACTTAAATATTCATAAATAAAATTATTTATAAATATATTTTGAAATGAAGAATTTATTCACTTATAAACAACTGTGAAAGTACTGTGAAGAAATCTAATGATTAAATGTATCTAATTTATAATGATTATAAATGTTATCTAAATATATAATAACCTTAATATTGAATTGTAAACATAAATTGAAATCCTGTTGACAAATACGTTATAAAACTATTTAAGCAATAATTGTTCGCATTGGAAAGCAATCTGTTAAAAGGTATTGTAAAGCAAATGCTATGAGTGCGCACTTAAGAACGTAATAAAGAGTTTTGGAATATGTATTGTTGAAATGAAGGGTAAAAAAAAAATCTGATAAGTATAATTAAAAGAATTATTCCTTTTACATTTTATAATAACTCAGTTACAAGTTTTAAATAATACTTTAAAAAAAAAAAAAAAAAAAAAAAAAAAAAAAAAACTTATTTTATTCCCTTTCAGAAATGTTCAGAGAAAGTCAAATACTATTTAATACCTAAGTATTTCGCTAATTCCTAATAATTCTCTAATTTAAAATGAACCGAATAGAGCATTAATTATAAATTGACTTACATTTTTCGATTTAAAAGAAGCCAAAAAATCATGTCATATTTAAGAAGGTATTTTAGGAAGAAGCCCTTATAAATAGAAAAAGAAATAATGCGTAATTTTAATATTAATAATACAATAAACTTTGATCTTAATTTTTGTACCTTAACCGAATAAAATCGAATTACCTTATTTTTTTTTCTAATGTAATTAACGAAAACTTGTGAAAAATATTTCATTCAAATTAAACCATTCTGAGAAAACTGTCCTGTGAAAAGTATAGCATTTAATTCCGTTCAGAATGAAATGTTGTTTAAAAATATGTTGTTTTCACATACTTAGGACTCTGAAGTGTTGTAGAAAAGAAAATATATTACATTTATATGTATATTTGCGACGTAATTACAAAATATTTTACACCCGAACGCGTCAAATCCATAGAACTCAATGGTAAATGACCCAATGTTTTGGTCACCACGTAGGGATCGCCGGTGCTTCAGAGCAGGGTACGGAGAAACTTGTTTAGGGCGACTCCATCTTACTTCCTACCTCCATGACCAAACCGCACGAGAGGACTTCCGGCTCTCCATATAGAGTGCCCCCAAGCTGCAAACGCACTATCTATTTAGAGACATTAGGTTATTTTGAAGCCACAAGACGTGAAAAATGAGCAATGCCTTTGGCGGGAATCGAACCTCGGACCTCTCGAATACGCGCCGAGCATACTGATCACTACACCACGAAGGCATGCTAAGAAGGTGGGAGATATACCCTATATACTCCCCCTTTTAAAGGGCAACTGGGGATTAGGGAACCCAATCGCCAAATCCTGGTGGCGGAGAAACATTATTCACCACCTTTTTTAGTTCGGGCGCCACTGTAGAAACATTAGGTTATTTCATAGCAGGAGGCATGAAACATGTGCAGTGCCCTCGCCGGGACTCGAACCACGGATCTCTCGAATGCACGTCGAGCGTGCTGACCACTACACCACGAAGGCATACTAAGAAGACGGGAGATGTACTTTATACATTTATAAACATGCATGCCTACTCTGGGATTCGAACGCGGGCTTTTCGGTACCGCACTAGGCTCCTAACCATTATATTGTCTGGGCGACAGTACAAGTGGATACGCGAGTTTAATCGTCGTCATAGAGCAAAATTCAACTGCAAACATTAAAATATATGGAATTTCTGTGTCAAACCCTTACCAATGAAAGCATAATACAGATTTTATTAACCAAAATATTAGGTTTTAAATTTATACAACCCTCCCACCTCTGATGGTAAAACTATTTTCATAAAATTGTGTACCTGGCTTGGAGAAAATATGAAAATGGAAATATATACGATCGGTATTTAAAAAATAAAGCCTTAGCCACTTTTTTGAGCACCTGGTATATGCTCAGCAATTGCTTTCATAGCAACGGAAAGGCAAAATCAGAAATTGATGTTTTAATCTAACTTTGCTTCTTCCTATAACTACTAGCTTCCCATCTATTTGATGCATTTGTAAATAGATTCTTCCGCGCAGTGTTTTGTAACAGACGCCTAGAATTTTCATTTCCAGTGCTAATCAAAGCAGAAAACTTAAACCTTATTTATATGGGGATTGCCCCAGTATACCAGCTACCCGCACCGTTATGACGGCTGTTATGGCAGCTGTATGGGCACATTTTGTGCCGGGCACCAGTGTTGAGGTTTTTGACTTAGAGAACAATAGCTAACTTGCATAAATGTGCCAGCACATTTGTAACAGGGCATCATTATGATATAATTGGGGTTTTTGAATATATTTATATTGCAAAAGAAAAGCTTCATTAAATTGTTAATTTCCTATGAATTGTTATACGTTTAATTTCCAGTACGATTCCCGACAACAGAAGGGACTACTATATGGGGTAGTCTTCACGTGTATGTAATTAAGAGCCAATCCATATAATTATGAGACGGGTCCTCTTAGATACTCCGTTACATTAGACATCTGTGTCCTTAAATAAATCTCTAGGTATTTTCGCTGAAATTAAATCATTTATTTTTTAGTACTCATGATGAATATATACCGTCATGAATGGAAGCTCACCTTTTTACTATCAGAAATGTAACAAGGTAGAGAATTCTTATCCAGTGATTAAGAGAAACTAAAATAAACTCTTTAATGAGAAATCGGGTTTCATTTAATATGGCCATATTTCACCAGCCTGTGGGGTAAAAACTGGTTTATTCCCAGTAAAATAATCCTTGAGCAACAAATCCTATTCTGTACTTAATTCCATGTAAAATTTCAATTATATACATATATACGAAAAAAAGAACTCTTAATATGTTAAAATTACCAGATCCGATATGACTCGCTATCTAGCAATTAAGTTATAAGTTATTTTTCCCTCCTTCCTAGCCTGCCTTCGTGGTGTAGTGGTTCTGCACCCTGGGCCGGTATTCCAGAGGTCCCTGGTTCGATTCCCGGCGAAGGCGGTTGCTAATTTTTCATCTTTTCTGCCTTCCAAAAAATCCTAATGTCTCTAAGTGGCGCCCGAACTAAAAGGGTTGTGGATCTCCGCACCCAGGATTTGGCGACTATGTTCCCTAAAACCCCAGTCGCCCTTTAAAGAGGGGAGTATATATAGCGTGCCTTCGTGGTGTACTTAATTCTGTCAGC